GAGCGCTGTTACTAACTTCTCGCTCTATCTTACAACTATCTAAACATTTCTCCCCGCCTTCGTTGACTCAAGTCAACGAACATTTGTACTACGTCTAACTGATGATTGATACGTCTACTGCTGTTGTTGCTGCGGCTTTGGTTCTCAATAAGGGTGGTCGTTGGCGCCTGACTGTGGATCGCCTATCGTTTTGCGTCTAAGCCAGGGTCGGATGCGACGATTCTTCCGGCGGTGGCACGAAGCAGACCTCATGGTGGTGATGTTGACTCTCTTGTCCTCTCTAGGAACATCTGTTCGATATTGCGGATGGTTCTTTTCCTTGACGACTAGCAAAACTAACCAATAGTTAGCGATGGTACAGCTTTGTTCCATTTGTAAAATAGAAAGGTAGTGTTGTAAACACTATTTAGACTATCTAGTCCAGCAGTTAGTTAACATTTGGCAAACCAATTGCCATCGATTTAAGCGTGAGACTCTGATTTAAGCGTGAGACTTTGATTTAAGCGTGAGGCTTTGATTTAAGCGTGAAGCTCTGATTTAAGCGTGAGGCTTTGTTGGTACCAACAACAGTTTAGAGACCCTCACTGGCTCACTTCTGCTCGTAAAGTGACCGGGAGGTTGCAAGGATCTGTCGTACGACAGATTTATCCGACGTATATCGGATGGGCTTTAACCAGCCCGCAAAGGCGTGGTCCACGCTTAACCAAATGGTTTGGAAATAAATTAACTTTAGATCCTCATGATCCTTAGTTTGCAGACAAAGGGGTCGAGAATGGAGGGTGTCCTCGATCTTATTTCGCAAGGTGTTCTTCTCCTTGAAAGTGAGCAAGGTGTCTCCTATGTGCAGCTTGAGAAGGAATTTAACCGAACGGACCCCAGTGTTTCATTTTCTTCCAATGTAAGGAGCAGCAGGAGAGTTGCAGTTTCCATGGCATTCCGTTATTGACTGTGAATCTTTTGTATACAGCGATGGATGTATCTTAAATTGACTGAACGTATTCTAGCCCGTCTTCTGTCTATACAGTACTGAGTCTGTATGAAGGTAGTCGTTAGTTGTGTACCTCAGTGCATCGTGCGTAAGTGATCGTTAGAAATTATCCGTTTCGTAATGGGTGAGTCTTTAGGCAGAATAAACGGATGGTTTATATTCATAGAAAGAAAAGCGAAATGGAGTCGGCCTTCCATTTAGAGAAATCCGTCGTAATTCAATATTGGTGTTAGTCAAAAAAGAGGGCTAGATTTATCAAGATGTTTACCGAAAGCTAAAACTTGCAAGTCATGTTTGAAATGTAATTGTTGTACTGCTTTTATTCAGAAGAGTCTTGTTTTATTCAACTTTTGTGAAGTCAATTGCGTATCGGAGAGTATCTCGGTTGTCCGTCGAAATCGATCAGCTGCTCTCATACATGTAGCTGTAATGCGCAATAAACGCGTTGAGTTCGAGTATCAAACTGCGAAATCCCACAAATCCGAACTCAAAATCCTTTGCATTAGTGACATTTTTTAACTAGACGTTCTTCCAAGTTTACTTCAGCATAGTGAGTTTGTGACTTGTTCGGCCAGGTTTCAGATGGTTCTGAAAGCCAAAGCGGTCCTTGACACCAGATTTCAAATTCCTGGAGTTGAGCGGGTGATAACCCACGTGTAGCATAATCAGCAGGATTCTCATTACCTGGAATTTCCAACAGAAATCTATCCAACAGAAAAGCAGTAGATTAGCACATTCGAAAACTGTCAAAAATTGAGAACTTAGTTTCATGAGCAGAATTGCGCCTTCGAGTTCCAAACGAGGTATGGTAATACGCTTAAGTGGTGCTACCTTTGTTTGTGCACACAACAAGGTGACCTTTGTAACGCCGTTAATGTCTGTGGAACGTATATATACCACAGCAGCAATTGCCTGCTAAGAGGCGTCGTAAAGTCCGTGTAATTCAATGCGATGATTAACTGTTACCCCGATCCATCGAGGAATGGCAATTTCGTAATTTTCGTGTAACTGACTTACAAATTTATTCCACTTGGCAGATACCGCGTCGGGTAGAGGGTCATTCCATTCAAGTTTCAGAGTCCATAATTCTGGTATAAGAACCTTTGCAGCTATAATTATTGGAGCGAGCAGTCCAAGAGGATCAAAGATTTTTAGACGACTGACATGATACTTCGTTTCAAAATTACTTTAGTAACCGGTAACTCAATTGTGAAGTAGAAGGTGTCCGTAGGAGGATCCCAACACAATCCCAACGCAAGTACAGTCTTTTTCTCTTCTGTTTGACAGCTTCTTGTGCCATTTGAATAGAGTCAGCGCCTCCGAATCCGTCATCCATATAACGGCCCTTTTCCAAGACTGGGACCGCAAGAGGATACTTCATACCTTCATTTTTGATCAATTGTATCACTGTCCGAAGGGCTAAGAATGGGGAACAGATAAATCCGTAAGTCACAGTGTTCAGTCTAAAAGTTCTAATGGTAATGATTCCTTTTGATCGAAGAATCCACAAAATTCGTTGAAAGTCCCGATCTTCGGGATGTATCAGAATTTGACGAAACATTTTTACCATATCGAACGAAAAGACATAAGGAAATCGTCGCCACCAAACCAGAACATCGAATACATTAATTTGAAGTTTAGCTCCTGTATGTAGCAGATCATTCAGAGAACATCCCGTGGTAGTAGGGCTTGAGCCATTAAAAACTACTCTGATTCTATTAAGATCGTTGTCCCGTAAGACTCCGTGATGTGGTAAATAGTATACTAATTGAGGTTCAGGATCGGATTCTGGAACTAGCGTCATGTGTTGCAACCTTTCGAATTCGTCCATAAACCCCTGATAAGCTTCCGCATACCTAGAATCTGAAATTAATCGTTTTGACAGACTATTAAGCACCTGAACGGCTTTCATACGAGAATCTCCTAATTTATTGGCCGGGTTGTTTAAAAGGCATTCGAACTTGATACCGTCCACTGGCATCTCTAGTATGCGTAGATTGAAAGTGCAATTCGCATTGCTGATCCTCAGCAGTTAATGACGAATCATTGTAGGAAGGGACCGTTTCCATCTCCCAAAATCGTTGAATTAAATCATGTAGCTCCCGATTAATGGAGACGTGGAGACTTTGAGTAAAGGAAGAGGTAGGAGCATTTCTTGCAGGACCAGAAATAATCCATCCTAATTTTGTGCATTGTGCGAGTGGAGTATCCACAGCTCCCTTAACAATTCCTTCTTCAATGAGATTACTATAAATGTCTGCTCCCAGAATTACGTCTATAGAACCTGGAACTGTAAATTTAGGGTCTGCAAATTGTAAATTTTTCAGATGCTCCCATGCTGATTCTTCACAACGCAAAGAAGGTAACGAAGCTGTCAGTTTGGTAAGATGTGAGCACAAATAGACCCTTCGTACTCGCTGTTGAAATGTGGCTTAAACTTGAAATTCACAATTCCTCTTGTTTTACGGGTTTTCTCAGCTCCTATTCCAATCAAAGGAATAAACGAATGTCTTCTCGGTAGGTTTAACCGTTGTACAATTCTTTCCGTTATTAAAGATATCTCGGATCCTTGATCTATTAACGCACGAGCCTTAGTAAATTCCCCGTTGGGGCCCTCGATTATGATCTGCGCTGTGGCTAATAATACAGATGTTAATTGTGAGACCGAAGTGGAATTCACAGCCTTTGCATTCGTATTGGTAGAATTGGATTGTGACGCCTGTTCCTTCGTAGAAGTAGAAAATGAATCCGCCTGTGGTTCGGCCTTGGCCGTAGCTTGATCCGAATTGGTAGGTTTCCCTTTGACTTTGTGAATGGTGGTGTGGTGTTTGCTTCCACACTTCAAACATCGCGTGGTTACGCGACATGCCGATGATCTGTGTAAACCGAGGCAATTGAAACATAACTTATGCTTCGCGATAATTGCTAGACGTTGTTCAATGGTTTTAGCGGTGTACTGAGGGCAGTGGGCTACGTAGTGTTTCGCCGAACAAATCACGCACGAATTCTTCTTACCCGCTTTCTCGTCCTTTGGTTTTCCCGAAAAATGTGATTTGGCAGATGGAACTGATTTTCCTAGTGTGCATTTTTCAAATGCTTGTAAAGAATGCAAACGATTAAACAAGAAGTCCTTGAATTGTTCCCAAGTGGGGGGCTGTTTATTCGATCCTAAATGATTCTCCCAAGCCTTTACAGATTCCGAAACCAGACGTTGAACGGCAGTAAAAACAAATATATCGTCCCAAGTTTCTACAGGGCGTTGTAAAGTTTCCAGCGTACGATATATCTGAGTGAGATTAGTATAAAGCATTTCCATTTCCTTATGTGACTCTTTCGTCATGCGTTTTAAAGAAAATAAGGCTTGAAGAGCCTCGTTAACAAGTAATCTAGTATTTTCGTAAAACGCAATTAAGGCATCCCAGGCCTTTTGGAAATTGTCAGAGGTAAGCGTAGTATTTTTAAGTAATAAAGCAGCTGATCCGGACAATCTCGTTTTTAAATACTGTAATTTCTCGACAGAGGTCAATGAAGGACGTTTTATAACAATTGAACTAAATAGATCCTTAAAGGATAACCAATTAGACTGCACTCCGTCAAACTTGGGCAACTCGATTTCCGGCAAGCGTGAGTAATAATGGTAATCTGGATTATTCGAACGAAATTGCGTAGAAGTCGAAGGCGGTACCGACTCTTGTTCTCGCGAAAAAGGTTGTGTAAAAGTCGTAGGCGTTACTGAAACTTGTTCCGGCGCGGGATGCTCAGGCGCGAGTAAAGAATTTAACTTATCTATTTCCCGAAGGTAGCTTTGATGCGTCTTTGAAAACAAGCCTTCCGAAAAATACGCATGATTGATTACACTTAATCTTTCCTCTGCATTTAATCCGCGCACAGCCATTCCGATGGCATGTTGTCGTATCGAGAACTGATCCCAATTATCTTGTAGATCTGCAATACGCGTGTGCACCATATGCGGCATAACATTTTCCCGCCCAATAGTCAATAAATTATCAACCGTTTTTGCAATTATGCCCATCAGGGTGAGCTGTTGATCTATATGATTTTCAATATGACTGAGTCTCATCCTGAGGCCGTACACCGGTATTCTAGAACTGTATATGTATTTATATTCAGGATCTATATCCGGGATCCTGATCCGGCTCGAAGGACCAAAATGTTTGAAATCTGTATTAATTACAAGGAAAACGTAAATAGCTTCAAA